AGCTACATGAGCGCACAACGAAGCCAATGGACGGGGCAGTCGCATTAAGAGATTTGATAGAACAATCTAATGTCAGTAGTGAAAATGAACAAATGGGCTGCTGTCACTGCTTGTACAGCTGGTGCACAGCAGCCCATTAAGCCTGCCCATCGGTCCAAAATTGCATCAAACCACTGGGGAATATGCCCACAGTGCTAGATTACTAGTGCAGCCCCAGTGTCCCGAACATGTGACTGCAGAACTCACAGTAGTTTTAGTTTAGTTTCAAGTTACATCTGCACTCCATGAATCTGTCTGTCTGCATATTGACTCAGCAAAGAAAAGAATTTCCATAATAATGTGTTCTTTATTAATTCAATAGGAAATTAGACCTCTGTAGAGATGATAACTTGCTCAGTGGTACCTCAGAGCATCCGTTTGGTGGATTTGAACCCCCACCTTTCTGACCATGGGGCAAACACACTTCCTACTGAGCTATCTCTGCCCCTTACCTGGGACCAACTAAAAGTATATTGAAGTGTAGAAGTAGGAGTGTGACAAAGGAGGGTGAGATGACATCTGTATCACCATGAATATTAATGAATATTTCAAAACACTGGCTCAGAAGATGACTCTCAGTCTGCAGAAGAAGAAAACTCCAGCAGGATCCACAGGACACGACAACAAAGACAAAACTATGACCTGCAAAGTGTGTCAGTCACTAAGCAACAGAGCACCTTTGTATATCACAGAGAAAAGTAGGAACACAAAACAGGAAGAAGCTTAAATGTTTGCAGTGGACAGGAAATGTGAACACGTCACATGACTGCTGTGGGCAAAGCTGCTTGAGATTGGTGTAAAAGGAAAGGAAGCACAGAGAGGTGATAGAAGGAGGAGCTGAATATAAACTCTGGTCTTATCTACATTAAGTGCAGCTTCTCTTTGTTCTGCATTTATTGCAAAGTCGAACACTTTGAGATTAGATGCAGATCAGCGTGCAGGGCTGGACGTGAGGATGGGGCACTCTTTGCTCTGTTTGCTGGGGTTATTCTGTGAGTACAATACACACCTTTACTGTTTGAATGGCAGTGATGAAGGAAAAT